GAGTAAATTAGGTGAAAGGATACAACCTTGACACACACCTTTCCTGATTTTAAACCATGCATTATCCCCTTGTTCTGTTCGAACGACTGCCTCTTGGTCTATGTGCAGGTTCTTCATCAGCACAATTAAGTGTTCTGGATTTCCCATTCTTCGCAATGTTATCTATAAATTTGTTATGATCCACACAGTTGAATGCCTTTGCATGATCAATAAACACAGGTAAACATCTTTCTGGTAGTCTTTGCTTTCAGCCAAGATCCATCTCACATCAGGAATGATATCCCTCATTCCACATCCTCTTCTGAAGCTGGCTTGAATTTCTGGCAGTTCCCTGTTGATGTATTGCTGCAACTGTCTTTGAATTATCTTCAGCAAAATTTTACTTGAGTGTGATATTAATGATGTCATTTGATAGTTTCTGCATTCTGTTGGATTGTATTTCTTTGAAATGGAACAAATATTGTGGGGTTTACATTCTATTAAGGGAGACTATAAACAATGTAATAGGTAGATTACACAGCTTGTTAAAAGGTAGTAAGTATTATGTAAAAAATAGAGAAGGTAAGCAGGATTGGGAATGTGATGGAGAAAGCTGCAATTTTAAATAGCTGGTCAAGGTCACTGAGAAAGTGACACTTAAGCACAGACCTGAAGGAGATGAGGGAGTTAGTTACGCTGATATTTAGGGGAAGAGTATTCCACGCAGAGCGAAGAGCCAGTGCAAAAAGGCCTACGATGGAAGAGTGCCTGGTGTGTTCAAGGAATAGCATGTAGGCCAGTTGACTGGAACAGAGTAAGTGATGGGGAGGAGAGCAGTAAGAGATTAGGTCAAGGAGATAATGTGGGAGAGGAGAGGGCAGATCATATTGGGCCTTGTATACCATTAAAAAGGAGCCCTGGTTGCATAATGGTAAAGTGCTCGGCTGCTAATCGAAAGTCAGCAGTCTAAGCTTACCAGCTGCTCCACGGGAGAAAAGAGCTGGTGATCTGCTCCCATAAAGATTACAGCCTAGGAAACCCTATGGGGCAGTTCTCCCCTGTCACATGGGGTCACTATGAGTTGGAATCGACTCGATGGCATACAATAACATGCCATTAAAAGGACTTCGGCCTTTATTCTGAGTGAAATGGGGAGCCATTAAAGGATTTTGAGCAGAGGAGTGACATGATATGACTTAGGTTTTAAAAGGATCACTCTGCCTAGTCTGTTGTGAATAGACTATAGTGGGCAAGGGTGAAAGAGGGAGACCAGTTAGAAAATGAATCATGGTGGCTATAAACTGGGTCATAGCAGTAGTTATGGTGAGAGTCACAGGATTCTAGGGATATATTTTAAAGTAGATCCAAGAGAATTTTCTAACAGATTAGATATGGTATGTGAGAGAAACAAAGGACGCAAAGCTGACTCCTAAATTTTGGCCTGAGCAGATAAAAAGATGCAGTTGCCACTAAATAAAATGGGGAAGTATGCTAATAGAGGAGGTTTTGGGGCAAAGATTAGGAGTTTAGTTTTGAACATATTAAGTTTGAGATGTCTAGGCAGGGAGATATGAGTTTGGAATTCAGATGCCAGGTCGTCTGAGTCAGCAGTACAAATTTGGGTGTCACTGGCATATATATGGTTTTTTAAGTCTTGAGATTGGATAAGATAATCAAACATATGATTATAGATACAGAACAAGTCCAAGTACTGAGCCATGGGGCACTCCAATGACAAAAAGTCAGGGAGAACAGAAGGTAATCGGTAAACGAGATTGAGAAGGTGCAACCAGTGAGGTGGGAGGAAAATCGATAATGTGGTGTCTCGGAAGCCAAGTGAAGAAAGTATATCAAGGAGTAAGGAGTAATCAGTTGTGTCACATTCTGCTCTTAGGCCAATTAGGAAGAGAACTGAGAAGTGACCACTGGCTTTAGCACCCAATATTTAAGTGGACATGCACTGGAGTGATTAACCGCTGGTTTAATTTCAGTACTTTCCATGTGGAAGTGGTCCAGGAGAGGGTAGGCTTGGAGCGGGGCTAGAGAAGAGTGTGAGGTCAGGAAATAGTTGAACCTGACTGAACTCTAAAGGTGGGTAGGTGGCAAGTAGAATTGATGGACTGAAGACAGTCACATGAAGCAGAGCAGTGGAAGGCTTTTGAGGTCAGGAGTTAAAGTCTGCATTTGTGAGCAACGGGAGCCACAGGAAAATTTCAGGGTTCTGTATTTGTGACATGCATTTGGATGAAGTGTCAGGTGGGAGAGAGAGAAAGGAATTGGTGATAAAGATACTTTCTAATAAAGCTGACTTAGATTGGATGGGTGCAGAAAGAGATTGTAAGCATTCCTGAATCACAGGACCTTATTGCTGAGAGGAACTTCAGAGGCCAATGAGTGGAAGAGAAATTACCAGAGACAGGCAGAAGTACAGTAGTGGGGTTTATAATCAAGGCCTAATCAGACAGCATTGGTGGGCTCTGGAGAAGACAAGGGGTTCAGTCACACCATGTCCCTGTTCTTCTCGCCTTCCCCTGCTCTTCCTGTCTCACCTTTACAAACTGAAGTCTTGGGGCTGTTAACAAGAAAGGGTAAAGCATTCCAAAATGGCACCTTTGCCATGCTTTTAGCACAGAATGAGGGAGGCTTCTCCATTATTGTTTTCCCCACCCAATTAATCCACACCCCCTTTTAACAAAATCCAAATTTGGAAAAGGAAATAGAACACCAGTTTACCTTAAGCTGTGTCAGGAGTGTTATTTTTGAATTCAATTCTAAAGCCAGGTTTCTTCCCAGAAGCCACCACTTTACTGGCACTAATTGCCCTGTCAGCATTCTTAACACAATGATGAAGAAGAACTAAAGTATTGAGGCTTGAAGGTAAAATGTTTGCCTCTTACTCTGTGACCCTTCCAGCTCTGAACTGAAAGGGCATAGCTGCAGGTGGGGGAAGATGAAATGTATCTGAGAGATGCCTGTCTGTTTCTTTTACTAGAGACTATCAAAAGTTATAGCCTCTTTAAGACACTTATTTCTACATTCATTTACAAGACTGCTCAACAGTGTGGTCTATGTGTTAGAAACAAGGCATCTGTGCTATTCTTTGGAAACGTAGAAACAAAACATCCTGTAAAGTCATCTACTGCACCCTATCTAGACGTTAGAGATGGTGTGCATCCTGCTAGCTCAGACTGGATTGAGACAATGAAAGCCCAGTGCAGACTGATGATGTGATGAATGATTAAATCAGCAGGATTCTACCTTTTAATAAGCAGGAGGTTTTAACACTGGAAATGCCTGACTTTGTGGCTTTTGAAGTGAAAAAGGTAGTATCAGAGATGCACAGCCTTCTCTAATCCAAAAGCAACACAGTAGAAAAAAGGGAGGAAAGTCCATTGCCCATTTGTAGGGGCAGTAGCACTAAGAGTAAGAGATAAGGATACAATAGTGCCTCTCATTCACCCAGGCACTAAACACAAATCTCAGGACATGGCCATTTGAGCTGGCAAGTAAGGCCTATGAGGGCCATCCTATCCTCCAATCCCTCTTTGTGACATGCTAGCTCTTCTCCTAATATGGTCCTCTGAGATGCTGGCCTCCTAGATTTCTTATTGGCCTGGAAGGAAGTACCCTGCTAACAACCAATTTCAAAAAAGCCCAATGAAGCATTAAGAATATTTTTTTTCTAGCAAAGGAGGACAAGATAATCTGTCTAACCAACCCTGACTGGCCTTAAAATCCTCTCAGTTGTGAGCAGGCCATACTTAGGTAGAACTTGGGTTCCTGCCAGGAACTGATCCTATGATTAACTGATATCTATGTAAGGTAGGAGATGAAATATTTGTCTGAAGTCACATGTCAAAGGTTCTTATTTATCTTGATAAGGCAGGTTTCATTTGATCTGTGGCCTGAACTCATGCATGTGTCCCTTAACAAACGGCTCTAATCTCTCAGCACTATGTTGGCAGCTCCCTTAGGTATGCCACCTCGCATCACTTTTGCTGTTAGGTGCTACTGAGTCAATTTTCGATTCATAGTGACCCCATGAAGACAGAGTAGAACTACCCCATAGGGTTTTCTAGGTTGTAATCTTTAAGGAAACAGATCGCCAAATCTTTCTCCTGCAGAGTCGCTGGGTGGGTTTGAACCACCAACCTTTTGGTTAGCAGCTGAGCACTTCACTGTTGTGCCACCAGGGCCCACCCAGCACCACTAGAATAGCAAAAAAAGCTTTAGTGAGACTTGGGTTACATACACAAGTAACCTTTGATTATTTAAAGTAAATAAAACCTCCAACAGATCCAGAAAAAGTTTGAGTCAATTATTATTGCTGCTACATTTTAACTGAAATATGACCACCATGTATTTCTAGATGTTTTTAAGAAAGCCTAAGGAGAAGCCTATTCATTACCGACAAGACAGACCCCTAGATCATTTCCACATGAACTGCACTGACTGGATGACTGGATGGCTGCATGTAGTCTGACTTAGTCTTAATGCTCCTCTTCGTCCTCACAGTTAGTTGATCCACACATCACTGTCTACTGCAGCCCATCGTTGGAATGGCAGTAATTCCAGGGATATGTGACTAGCCGGTAGCAGTGGAGGATTCTTAGCACCAACTGTATATTCTCATATGCCTCTCAGGTAGGCTCAGCCATACCCTAGGTCTGCCATCACCAGCATGTGGGCCAGTTATGAAAAGGAGAGACTGCAAATGCCAGTACGTTATGTTGAGCAGTTTGTGTTGGGTGCCTCCTTCTGTGCCAACACACTTGAATTCCTTTCCAAATGGCAGCAGAAAACATGTTTTCTCATTTGCACTGCAACCAGCACACAAAATCTACTGTTCTGTGCATAAAATTCAGCCTTGCCTAGTAAGAAAACATTCCCCCCCTTCTGTTTTCTGGGTGGAGCTTCTGAACATGCATCTATGAACCTCTCAGGTATTCCTTTGAGAAGGAAGAAAGCTTTCTTAGACATCCAAACATTGTGACTTGTGGGGAGAACAAGTAACACATTACTTGGATTTGGAGGGAAGAGCGTGCAGCTTTTACAGTGTATGATCTCCTTCACTACTGGCATATCTGGTGGAATTGGTGGAGGTACTATTCCCAAACCAGGCATCATTGGAGTTATGGGTGGAATTCCAGTCATCATTCCGAGAGCAGGATCGAAGTCTAAAAAAGGAGAGGTGAGAGAGAACAATATATGACACCAGGCAAGGTCAAGTGGAGGCAGAATGTTACCTTTTAAGTCTCAAACCAAAGCCCTTTCTAAGGTAGAGGCAAAATATTTCAGAAATCATGGCACTTAGCATTGCCAGGTCTTAAATGTTATATTATTGTTGTGCGTTTTCCTTTTGGGATGGGGCTGTTTGTTCTGTTTGACCAGTGCCTATTTAAGCCCCTGCATCTCATTTTGACATCCAAGGCCTTTCATAATTATGATTGCACTTTGTCTACTACTTTGTCTACACTCTCTGCTCCATTCAGACAAGGCTCCTTGCTGTCCTTTGTATACGCAATGATGGTTCCTGTCTCTTTGTGGTACAGCATCAGGTTAATAGTGCACAGTTTTTGGGATCAGGCAGACCTGGGTCCTAGTTCCACACTTTGCTTAGCTGGAAGAACCTTTTAAACCTCTATTTCCTCATTCTCAAAATAGGGTTAATACAACCTACCTTGCAGAAGCTGTGAGGAGTAAACAAAATAATGACTGTCATGTGCTCAGCACATGTACATAGCACAGACATGCTCAATAAAAAAACTACTCGTTGTGTCTTTGTTCATGTTGTTCTCTTTGTCTGGAATCATTTGAGCCTCCTCAAGTTCTCCACATGCTTCAAGACCTGGCTTAAGTCCATCCTCCTTGAAAAAGCCTTTCCAGACAATTCTGGTTCCCTCTTAATTCTGTGTCTAAAAATGACTGATTCTACACCTATTGGCAATGAATTTTTATTTTCCACTACCCTCTGATTGTTTCATTCAGGGATGCCTCTAGGATGTGCGGGGAGCCCCCAAAACAAAATTTTTTTGTGGGGCCCCTGTCTATATACATAATTTGATTTACTCCAAATCAATGCCAGCACCATTCTGGTGGCTCGATCTCACATGATGCCATGAAAGAAATACCATACCAGCCAGATGGAGTGATTTACTTACCAGGATACCCTCCTGGAACCAGGACCCTATAGGCGTGAATCCTGAAGTTCCTGTGGGCATTTGACTCACCTTGCATGTGTGTGTGAGGGGTGGGTAGAAGATTGCAGAGTGCCCTGAAAAGGAGAAATGGGGACCAGGGCCCACAGGAGTTGTCTGGGATGGGAGCTCCTTGCTCAAACGACACTGCAAGCCTTGGCCAGTCCCACTTACTAGAGGGACACAGGAAATTTCGAGAAAAGGGCTTCTGGCAACCAGAACCCGTGGAGGGCCTGGTCTGGACTTGGAGCACCTGCCCTGATGGCACTGTCTGCCCAGCTAGTCCTTGGCACTGGAGGGTGACTTGGAAAATATTAAGGTAGGCATTCCAAAGCAGGGGACCCCTGAGGTGCAGGCCCAGGGCAGAGGCTCTCCTCCCCCACTCTAAGTGTGGTACTGATTTCATTATTTACATTTTGTCTCTGTATCAAAATGCAAGTTCTCTGAGAGAAGGAAGTGTGCTGTACTTCGTTTCCCTACCCTCACCCCTGCTCTCTGCTCTAGCACCATGCACAGTGGAGTACAAACAAAAAAAGTATTGCATAAAGAGTTCTGGTAATGCAGATACAGCTGCAGTAGCAGACCCTACCCCGAAAGACTTCATCCTGCTCACCACACAGGCCGTAGGGGCAACCGCTATAAGTGGCCTCCAGGTGGCCCTGATGTCCCCTGGGCTCTTTAAGATGTTAGAGGAGATGGACTTGAACAGCAGAAAGAACTTGTGGTTCCCAAAGAAGCAGAACACCAGGCACAACAGGCCCAGTAAGAGGAAGTCCTGGGACTGTGGGCAGATGGACAGGCAGGTGGCACATGGGCATCCCTCACTGTAGAGCTAGCCTAAGAGAGCTGGGGCGTCCCCTGTCCTCCCACATGCCTCTCATCCTGAGATGTCAAGACACTGGGAATGTTCGGGGGAGAAAAAAAAACATTTCCTCCAAGAGGAGTTCTTATTTTTCTGAAAGCATGTTTACTTTGGGTCCTCATATGTCATCTCCCCCAACACGCATGTGTCTGCATGTACATATGCACATGCACACACACACATTTCTTCCCTCCCTGTGGCTCTCTACTCTCCTCCAATAGTATTTACATGACCCTGAGGAAAATTTCTTAATATCTCTGTGCCTCAATTTCCCTTCAGGTAAATGTACAGATAAATAATGACATTTAGTTCAAAGGATGAAAGGACAGAACAGATATGAAAACTTCTGGTGTGACAGGTGCTCCTGATAGGTAAATTTTCATCCTTTTGTTCAAAACATACATACACACACTGATAAATTCACTGATTCAGGCATTCATTCCCACATTCCACAAACACTTGTTATAATCCTCCTATACATCAGGCTCTATGCAGGTAAGGGGTCTAGGACTCCCTTTTGATCTTGGAGAATTTAAGGCCCCTGACAGCCTTTCTGTCGTCCTATGCCGTAGAATTTAAGAGCACTGTGGTTAAGAATGCCATTTATGTCTGGAAAATTTGATTTCTTGTGCAAAATATTTTGGAGAAATTGTTAACATTATCTCACCCATTTGCAAACTAACTTTCGTTAGGAAAAGATCAGATTAGATTGTGTGCCAACTTAACAATCACATGTATTTTTCCCCTCCTACTGAAATGTTTGTCTTCCTTTTATTGTTCTGCCTGTCTGCTCATTATTATTCATATAGCTCTGTCACTCACAACTCTACCTTACCACAGATTACAGAAACATCAGCTCATTAAACAAGTTCTGCCACTTCAACTGAGAAGGAAATGTCTGTCTCCATGTACTGTCTACTAATAAATGGAGACAAACAAAAAACAAATACACAGGATAAATATAACTCCTGACTGATGCACTCCACTCTGCTGGTTGGTATGATTACATTAATATTTTATGCATTTCATTTAAAAGCAAATGTATTCATGACATACGGTTAAAGCCAGAGTAGATCAACTCCCCTTCTTCCTTGCATTCAGTATGTCAAGGGTACCTACCATAGGCTACAGTGCCCGGCAGGCCTTGCTAGGGGGGCAGGTTGTAAATGACATTTCAAAAGGCTCCATCACACTGATTATTTCTTTCATTTATCTTCAACTATCAAGCACCACAGTGGAAGTGGATTTCCAATGCCAACCAAGGAAGTAACCATTTTGAATCACAGACTTTATACAAGTATTGCAAAACCAAAAAAACCAAACCCATTGCTATCGAGTTGATTCCAATTCATAGTATTCCTGAACCTGAAAAGTCAAACAAGTCCAACAATTCAAAATACATCGGGAATAGAACACCAGAGAAATTCTTTCCCTTCTCCAGGCCCCTGGTCTGGCTTGAGGAGTACTGCCAACAAATACATGCTATTGCTTCTTATATTAGAAATTCAAATCTCTGAAAGGGATTTGAAATCATATAAAAGGATTTTGGAAAAGGCCAAGGTATGCTCCTAAAGTCATTTTCACAATTAATACTGTTAAATAAATGAATAAACAAACAAGCAAATAAAATTACTTAAATAAATAAATTCAGCAACATATCAAAAAAATAATTCACCATGATCAAGTGGGTTTTATACCAGGTATGCAGGGATGGTTCAACATTAGAAATACAATCAATAGACTCTATCACATAAATAAAACAAAAGACAAGAACCACATGATCTTATCAATGGATGCAGAAAAGGCATCTGACAAAGTCCAACACTCATTCATGATAAAAACTCTCAACAAAATAGGAACAGAAGGGAAATTCCTCAACATAATTAATGGCACTTATACAAAGCCAACAGCCAACATCATCCTAAATGGAGAAACTTTGAAAGCATTCCTCTTGAGAACAGGAACCAGACAAGGATGCCCTTTATCAACACTCTTATTCAACATTGTGCTGGAGGTTCTAGCCAGAGCAATTAGGGTTGAAAAAGAAATAAAGGGCATCCAAATTGGTAGGGAAGAACTCAAAGTACCTCTATTCGCAGATGATATGATCTTACACACAGAAAACCCAAAAGAATCCACAAGAAAATTACTGGAACTAATAGAAGATTTTAGCAAAGTATCAAGATACAAGATAAACATACAAAAATCAGGTGGATTCCTCTATGCCAAAAAAGAGAACTTCAAAATCAAATCAATACCATTTACAATAGCCCCCAAAGAGATAAAATACTTAGAAATAAATCTAACCAGAGATGTAAAAGACCTATACAATGAAAACTACAAGACACTACTGCAAGAAACCAAAAGAGACCTGCATAAGTGGAAAAACATTCCTTGCTCATGGATAGGAAGACTCAACATTGTGAAAATGTCAATTCTACCCAAAGCGATCTACAGATACAATGCAATCCCGATCCAAATTCCAACGGCATTTTTTAATGAGATGGAGAAACAAATCACCAACTTCATATGGAAAGGGAAGAGGCCCCAAATAAGTAAAGCATTACTGAAAAAGAACAACAAAGTAGGAGTCCTCACACTACCTGATTTTAGAACCTATTATACTGCCATGGTAGTCAAAACAGCCTGGTACTGGTACAACAACAGATACATAGACCAGTGGAACAGAAGTGAGAATCCAGACATAAATTCATCCACCCATGAGCAGCTGATATTTGACAAAGGCCCAAAGTCCGTTAATTGGGGAAAAGACAGTCTCTTTAACAAATGGTGCTGGCATAACTGGATACTCATCTGCAAAAAACTGAAACCAGACCCATACCTCACACCATGCACAAAAACTAACTCAAAATGGATCAAAGACCTAAATATAAAATCAAAAACAAGAAAGATCATGGAAGAAAAAATAGGGACAACACTAGGAGCCCTAATACATGGCATAAACACAATACAAACCATAAGTAATAATGCACAAGCACCAGAAGAGAGACTAGATAACTGGGAGCTCCTAAAAATCAAACACTTATGCTCATCACAAGACCTCTCCAAAAGAGTCAAAAGACAACCTACAGACTGGGAAAAAAAATTTTGGCTACAA